CAAAAGAGGTGGATGGAGCATGCAGTGGCTCATTAAGATATAAAGGTGCAAAAATGAATTATAACATGTCCCTGCTATGTTAAATATGACTTTATCTTCTTGCCATCATCTACTACCACTGCACATCCTATGAGCTTCTCTCCTCTCAACCATAAAAATATATTTTTATATATACCTTACTGCATAATGAGAAGAGGTACTTTGTTTTTTTTTTAGTCTGTTTAGTCATACATTTCTAAGATCTTAAATCACTAAAGTCTACATAGTTGCCTTGTCTTCTGATTTGGCACTTTGGCTCAATCGTCGAGAAAAATGAAGTCGATGTGTCTTGTAGTTTCTTTGTTTTTCATGTGTGTATTTGTAAAGATACAAGGTGGGGAGTGCTTGGAGATGTCACTGTTGTTGCCTTAGAAATTTCTTTCACTCTGAAACCCCAGCATCAGATACTCACAGACAAACTTTAGGTTTCTGTGGGTTTGTCATCAAACAGTAAAGACAAAGGCTTTTCTTTTGAGGTCATGCACAAAGCCACAAAATAAGAAAAGCCTCATGTGGCATCAGCGTTTGCTATATTCCTTCTTTGAACTCCCACGCACCTGTCTGAGACAAACCCCGCTCACCCTTCTCTCATGTCACAGAATGATTGTAGCATGAAGTCACCTTTTATCTCTGCCACCTTTTTTTCTTGTCTCTCTCCTGTGCGGCACCTCAAAGCTAATGGGAGTGAGGTGCACATCAGCAACGTGCACTTTGAAGACACCGGGGCATATACCTGCATCGCCAGAAATGAGGCCGGTGTGGACGAGGACATCTCCTCACTGTTTGTGGAGGATTCTGCGCGAAAAACCTGTATGTATATGCAAACTGCTTTATTCATAATCAGAAATTAATTAGTCTATCCCTTATACCAGGGATGGCTCGATACAACGTTTTCATGTCCGATGCTATAACTGCTCTTTATCTACGGATACTTCTATCAATCCAGTACCCTCTGTCCTCCTCCAGTGTGCCACAGGCTCCTGTTGCCACTGAAGCAAAAGTGTCCCTGTTTATGACATGTAGAAGTTGCTTTGAGCATTTGGATATCAGATCAGATGGGATATGGTGTTTTGTTTTTTAATTGATGTTTGATCCTGAAAATTTAAATTAAAAGAAAATTCGGACCAACACCATTCCTGAGTTTCAGATCGTGCCATACCTTGTTTATACCCTGTGATGCATTGATGGAGCCCCTGTCATGGCATAATACTGGTACTGTCCCTATTACATATGGTCTTCAACGGTATGTACTTTTTTCAGTTTTAATTTTCACAACCATCCTCTGCTAACCTTTAGCACAAAGATAACTCTGTTTATCTGGTATGTACATATTTTAGCAGCTTAGGCAAAAACTGGGGTGACAGAAGGTTGGTAAGGTGATAAAAAAAAAAAAAAAAGACTGTTACAGATGTGTTTTTCCATGGCCGGGTCTTATGATACTCCTTAAAAGCTCAACTTAATTCTTCTTTGTGTCATTCTCCAACTCTGTGCCGTGGTATTTGCTACATTTTTCAAAGGTTAAAGTTGTGACACCATTGACCTTATTTAAATTTGGGTGCATTTTTGACACAACAGTCTCTTTTTGCTTGTCGACTTTAATAGAATTTTTCTACGGCATAATTAACTCTGAGCTTCTCAGAAATGTCAGAATGTGTCCGTTGGGGGATCAAGGACCAGTTGGTGGTGTGTTATGACTCTTGTGTGTGCAGTGTGTGCAGCCACTCTGCAACTCTGCAGTCCAGTCACACACTCCTGTGTACTCCTTTCCACAAGTCTGACTTCTTTGGATGTCTTCCCTCCCTGCAGAACAATTCCTCTACTCTTCCTGTCATGCTTTAGGGAATCAGGCTCAGTGAGGTCAGAAGTCGCTTTTGTACTTTGAAGCTTTTGATCCTCGAATGTGAGCCAAAATGGTACAAGGAGTTGGATATTGCTGACCATCTTTTAGGGTGAGGTGGGAGTTGGAGGAAGCCCACAGGACAGCGGTTCAAAAGGGAAGTTAGCGGACAACCAGCAGACGTGGCAGCACAAAAACTTCACAAAAAAAAAAAAAAGGAAAAAACAGATTTAACTTTTTGGTTGCAGCCACAACTAAAGGGCCAAAT